ATGACAAGGACTCCTAAATTGCTGACACGAATCATTCCTATATACCTCACAAGAATGAGTGTACATTTTGGTCAGTATAAAAGCCCAAGCCTCATGTGATGTGGGGGAGACAGAGCCTCTGTGGGGATGCCCACTAAGGTTGAGCCTGCCACCTCACACTGCAATGATGCTTCTCAGAGCTGATTTCCTAATAGTCTTCACAGGGCCCTTGTGCCACATTCTGTCCGTGGCACTGCATAGTGGGAGTAATGATTGTCTGGATTTTGTGCTTCAAATATTGTAGTTGTGTGGAATGTGCTTGTGGGATCCCATACGTGTGTGTGTGTGTTGAGGGTAGATAGTGTTCTGTGTATTTTCTGTTGTCGGGTTCATGTAAAAGTTTTTAAAGGGTAGCAGTTTAACATTTAGGGCAAGAAAGGTTTAATGCAAAAGTGCGGTTTCCAGCAGGTATTTATGGTTTCTGCTGAAGCAGGCAGGCAGCTGTAGCTGCGGCCAAGCAGGCGGGCATCTATAGCAGCTGCCGAGCAGGCCTGCGTTAGTGGCCATGCAAAGCAGAGTGAGCGACTTAAAAAAAAAGGGGGGGGGGGGCAGTGATGCAGCAAACACCTCAACTGTTAACAATGTTCAGTTTAATCAGTCTACTTCTCAAGAACAGATAACCTGGAGGAGGGGGTATATTTGTGTCCTCCTGCCTACAGGTCCATGGCGACTGCCTGCAAAGTTTGTCAAGCCTTGCCATGAGCTGGACAGACGAATGGAGGAACCTCATGCCTCAGCTGCAGGAGCTGAACGTGAATACCCCAAGCAGAATGAGATAGAGGAAGAGAAAAACAAATGATTGCAAAGCATCACTTGGGGGCAACTGAAAAGTAACAGCTTGAATATGTGTGCTTGTAAAGTAGCTATTATTAGATGCTGTGATTTTGTGTATAAAACCACCTGTATTTACTAGCCAGTTGCTAATAAGAAACTACACCTTGTATTGTATAGATTTGTCACTTGAAAATGCAAAGTTGTAGTAGCTGGTAGAAAATGCTAAGGCAAAAGCTAGAAAGATCCTAATACAAGGGTAGTGTTATAATGTAGGTAATGGAACAAATTAAGAGGGTGAGAGAACACCACTGGTAGGAAATTTCTTTGGCTAGTTACTCTGCTAATATACATTTGTGTGTGCCTTGCCATAATAACAGCTTGTTATTGGATGAAGCAGGTGAAACTCTGCATTGACAGCAAGGTGCAAGGACTGAGGCTGACCAAATGCCTGCTACCACAATCAAGGGCAAGACTGGGTTGGCCTCTGTGTTTGCCACCAAGAAGAACCTTTAGCTCCACTGCTGGCTGCAACCCAGCAGGCGTGGAGTGATAGGGACACATGCCATGCCAGACCTTGATGTGAAGGATGTCCTCCCCTGTTATCAGAGAGCCATGTAGAAGAAAAAGGGGACAGGCCCAACAGCCTGTAGTTGGCATATGCTGGAGATATGATCTAGCCCAAATCCCCTGCTCAAGTACAGTCATCCAAAAGATATATAAAACAAAAAGGGGGAGATGTGGAGACAGTGTTCTCACATTAGAATGGATATTTGGTACGTGAACTCTGAACAATCCTAAAAGATACAGCAAGGCCGTGAGAGGCCTGAGGAAGCTTAAGCAAGCAAGATAAGAAGATGGAATTCACTGAGTTATGAGAACTGTGGACTGTTGGCAAGCTTTTGAGGTCAAGTTCTCACACCTGTGCTTAACCAGTTATATTTTAGTCGCTAAGGGTCTTCAAGACATGTATCCAATCATAATATGCCAAATCACTGTAAGTGCATGTAAGCAATAGTATATAAGGAGTTAAGGCTTTGTAATAAACGGCTTTGGTCTGATCATATTGATCTCTGACTGAGTCCACATATTTTCTGCGGCAAAATCCCATGAGGTATCATCTCTAATGACGGTGCAAGATTTGCCTGTTCTCAAATTTCAGCCAAATCTGTAGATATTTTGTTGCTCTGACCTGTGTATGTGCAGCAGCTTGTATTTATGATTGTACAGACGCCTCCTTGGGAAGCTAATAGCAAGTCAAGGGCCATACAGTTTTGCAGTGTCACCTAGGATAGGCTGGATACCTCAATCTGTAATGCCTGCATAGCATCTATAATTTCACTCTCAATGTTTTTAATTACTGCAGATATATATACAATTGCCTTTTCTAATTCACTCACTCCCAAACAAGGGAGAAACCATCTAACAAAATTGTGAAAACCTGTGGGACAACTGGCAATAGCATTATGAGTTGAGTTTTCTATGAGGTCGTACAAAACAAAGCAAGTGGAAAATGTGGCACCAGATTAGGTCCCACAAAACAAGTAATTTGCCTTAGTAATTTTCAGTGAGCTGTTGAATATATATCCACCCTCCACCCCTTTGCTCACAGTCAAGAGGCAGGGGAATAAGTTTTCCACCCCATGGGTGAGAGGTTATGGTATAGATTCTGATAAATCTATAAGTGCTGGGGCACTAGGGCCTTCCATATTTTGTGGGGGTCTTTCATTTACTTTAGGGCTGTCCTGGGTTTAGCAGTAGCAGTCATTTTTCTCTTTCTTGGTAGCTGGTGCAGTGCTGTGTTTTGACTTTCGGGGTGGGAACAAAGCTGATAAAAATGATGTTTTGGTTTGGCCAAGGACTTTGTGAGCCTCATGCTCTGCCAGGGAGGAGTGGAAGCCGGGAGGAAGCAGAGACAGGACACCTGACCCAAACGGACCAAAGAGGTATTCCATACCACAGCACGTCATGCCTTGGATGTAACTGGGAGTTACCCGGAAGGGCAAGTGTGGACTGCAGGGTTGGAAGAGGTATCGGTTGGTGCTTGGTCGGGCTGGGGGGGGGGCAAGTTATCGGTCGGCTGGTGATGAGGTGCTGTATTCTCTTCCCTTGTTATTTCCTTTATCATTACTATTATTGGTGGTAGCAGTAGTGATTTGTGTTATACCTTAGTTACTAAACTGTTCTTATCTCAACCCATGGGAGTTGCATTTTTTTTTCTGATTCTCCTCTCTGTCCCTCCAGGAGTAGGGGGAGGGCAAGTAAAGGGGGGGAGTGGGTGAACAAGCTGTCTGGCATTGGTTAAACCACGACAAGGGCCCACAGAGTTTATTTTGTGCCACTCTATTATCAGTTTTTCCAATTTTTCAGTGGGTAATCCATCCATTAAATCTTTAGGAATGCCCTTTTGCCACCCCAATGTCCACAACCTTTCTCTTTTATTAGGAATATTTCTACCTCCTGGGGAAGTAGGGTATGTTGGGTGTTTCCCATTAGTCAGGTGAAGAGAGGTTTTTACCTCTGTTCGCCTCAGTCCCTTAGTATCAGTTTTACTAGAAATAAAAGTATGGATGGGACTGTACTTTCTCCCACAATTAATCAACTCTTGGGCAACTTTCCCCCGTGTCCATACTTTCTTTTCTGTCTTTCGACAGGTGACAGCAGTCCTTCCAGGGCAGCAACAACAACTTTGAGATGTTTCTTGTATCTTTCCCTGCAATTGGATCCCCATGGCTTTCAGGGTGTCAGGAATACCCCAAATGAGAGGAGTCATACATTCGGGATCAACCGGTATCATCATCGGGGACTCCTGTTTAAGTCTAAGTTCCAGACTGTACATCATTTGCAGACATGCCACTTTCTGTACATTTTCTACCAAATGGTCAATTGTCCCTGTGATGGAGAGGGGATCTCTCCTTTCCAAAGAGTTAAGTCCTCCAACCTAATAAGTTGCCCTTTGAGATAAGGACCAGGGTGCACCATGGTTACTGGTGGTTATGATTCAGAGAAAACTCCAGGAACAAACCTGCCAACAAAGTTTTCAAGTTGACAAGCAGGTATTCTTTATTGCGGGGCCGGGAGACAAGGGGGATAGTTCCTCCTAACATGTTCCTCCGTATTGCTACTCAGGCCATCCTTATATAGTCACTGGGTATACATACATATTCATGAGGCTACACATGAATTACATAATTTTCCAGAAAGTTTCCCGCGTGCATACAAAAATGTGATGATGGTCTCTGAGGGTTGTTTATTTCTCCCGACAATCTTCATAACTTTTGGCAGTCTTTGAAGCACCAGCTTAATTAACATTACAGACATAGCAATCATCCTGTCCTACTTATCAGTTAGTTTAACTGCTCCCATCCTGGACATATACTAGTCCCAGATACTCCCCACTAGATGTTTACCTTTTTAATGGGTTCATTAACACCACAAGCATAGCAATCATCCTGTCCTTCTACTTATCAGCTAGTTTATTTGCACCCATCCTGGACATCTGCTAGTCCCAGATACTCCCCATCTCCAGGTCCTGTTTTTCTATCCTGTTTTTCTTACACTTTTTGTACTAAGGTCCTAAGGACCTAAAACTATGTCAACTACCTTCAAGCACCTCAGTTATTTTCCATTACAAAGCCATCAAGGTTACTTAGAACTGATTACATTTTGTGCTTTTGTGCCTCCTTGTATACTGGCCCCCAATACCCCTCAGCTTCCTTCTCACTTAGTAAAATTTACTCTCCCCCAGACAGCGATACTCTCCAAACATATTCGGTTTCTGATTCTTTCAGAGTACGACTGAATTCCTTTTTAAGTTTAGCTAATTTTGCAACATTACACGGAACCTCTTTGGTGGTAATTTGTGGGAATTCGTCCTCTCTGTCTTCATAAGTATATTAATTTTTTTCTCAAGGGTCAGAGAGAAACAGCAGGAACGTTTAATTTTTCTAACCTTAGTCTCACTTCTAGGTCACTGCAGGGGTATTCAGTTGTTTTCTCAGACCATGGAGAGGTGCTTTTCTCTGCCAGGAGTTCCTTTCTCAGGGCTAATTGCAAGTAGTTAGCCTGATTTTTCTCTTTGTCTAACTGTTCTTTTAAGTTAACTACCCGGTTCTGTAGGGATCAGATCAGGTCTTGTAAAGTTTGTATGAACCGAGATTCAGCCATTCGTTGTTGTCCTTGAGCCTCTACTGCAACGTCCACCTCTTCATTCAAGGTTAGTGACTAACATTTTCTTAGCATTGGTGTGTAAATAACACACAAAAGTGGAGAGGAAATAAGCTATGTGAAGACTTATTCACACAATTGTAGGAAAAAAACACCCACCATATCTTTGGTTTATTATGTGTTAGTAATTAGCATGTGATAATAAACAGATCGTACAGGAAGCTTTTTCATGCCTCTATGCAGTTGTCCATGTTAAACTATGGTGTCATTTTCAAATGGCAAGAAAATCAAACCTGTAGGAGGAAATATTAACTTTTCCTAGCATACTTTTGAGACTATCAGGGCTTCTAAATGAAAGGAAATGGTGATTCTGTGACTTTAGTGATTGACAAATGATGTCTTTCCTTGTTTCATGTGTATAAATATTTAACATTTGAATTTGGGTGGGCTGTACTTTTAGAAGAGCAGAAGAGGAGCAGCACAATAAAGGGGGGAGTAAATATTAGAACAAAGATCTTAAAATAGAACTGCCTGTTTTCTGGCAAATAGGCGTAAACCTGGTAGCATGCAAGATCATGTTTTTAATAAGCTTTTATCGAATGCTCTAAATTAGCAGATGCAGTCAAGAGGAAAAGTTGAGATCAGTGATCAGTGGTTAAAATGAGTAAGAAACACATACAGTTTCATATTTTCTGTCATTAACAGTATTTTATATCTGTTGATATGTGAAATGTCTAGTGTACTTGAAGTTTTTCTTCATAACTGCAGAATTTTATATTTTTTTTTTATTGAATTATTGCTGAGTACGTAGAAGCATTTGAGCCTTTTTTCTCTTGTATTTTCAGAAGGGCCATAGCTTACGTGAGAAGCTTGCAGAAATGGAAACCTTTAGGGACATCTTGTATAGACAAGTTGATACTTTACAGAAATATTTTGATACCTGTGCAGATGCAGTTTCCAAAGATGAACTCCAGAGGGATAAAGGTAAAACTGTAATTAAAAAATTTTATCTCTATAGAATTTAACTTTTACACAATTGTATGCTTAAATTATAAGTTTACACTAACAGTAGTGTGTGTGGCTTTAAACTAACATAGTAAAATATAGCAAACTGTTCTAAGTTGCTAACAGAGAGAGAGAAAGGAATGTTCAGCTGATGGGGGAAGGAACATCACGGGTCTTATAACAACTAAGGAGACAGCAAATAAGACCAAGGATGCTAGCCTTCAAGGTAACAGAGACTGGAGGAGAACAAAAGCAAGGGCATGCCAATTGCTAACTCAGCACTAGGACCTTGTGAGCGTGCACAAGCACTGAGGTCATTCAATAAACACAGTGAGGAAGGCTATCAGTGACCACCAGAGACCCTCACTCATCGAGAAAGCACATGTGTAATTAGAATGCAAATATTCTGCTGGCAAGTACTGGGTGCGCTCACCTTTGCGAAACGATTCACGTGTGCGCCCAGCACTGCAATAAAGAATGCTGCTTTCTAAAACTCCACCTTGAGTCTTAGAGAGTTTCTCTGACCTACTTTTGTGGTAACACAATAGTTACTATAGCATTTGATGCCATATAAATAAAATATATATCTTAAATATACTCTGTAGTAATGGGATTAATCATAGATATTTCTGCATCAACAGTGTTAACTATTTTCACTTCAGAAATTGGATTCCCATAAAAATCTGCTTAACTTCAATATAAACCTGTAGCTGTCAACTGTATAAAAGTAATGCTTTTTTAAGCATTTGATGTTCTAGAACAGTAATTGTTTACCCCATAAAATGAATTTAACTTAGTTTAACGTTGTATCTCTTAACTTTATTTAGAAAAACAATAGGATATTAGTTTTGACAGGAAAAATATGTTCTTTACAAAAGGCAAAGGTTCTGCCATAATGAATGCTCCTGAGATGTATTTGCTGCAGCTAGAGTACTGAGTGTGCATGTAATGTCCTAGTAGACTCAGGTATAGATGTCTACATATCTCTGAATTGTTCTTCTCAGAGCACAGCTTGTATTCAGGCACTCTCTTGAGGTATTTATATTCATCCTCACATTTTTTCTGGCAGCCTGAAACTTTTGATAGTGAGAAAACAGTAGATAAGTACTATTCCACTTTGAGAACTTTCTAGTGTAAAACAGTATATAATTGCTCAGTTGTGGCTCCCTGCTTATACAGTTGTAACACCAAAATAATGTTCTTCTTACGATCAAGTGCTAAATTTTGACACTGAGCAAATGTTAGTCTCCTGATGGTTTCTGAAAGTAATGTTGATAGTGGTTTCAGGTTAAAAGAAAGGGGGGTGGTGGTGTCATGACTGTTGTTATAGGAAAAAATCTTAAATAGTTCTTAGCTATGAAGATGCTTTTCATAGAATCATAGAATAGTTAGGGTTGGAAAGGATCTTAAGATCGTCTAGTTTCAACCCCTTTGCCATGGGCAGGGACACCTCACCCTAGATCATGCTTTTAATCCCTTTTTGCACAGTAAAGAATTGGGAAAGCTTTCTCACTCCCGTAACTCATTCTCTTTCACATTTAGTGGTAGAAGATGATGAAGATGATTTCCCTACAATGCAATCCGATGGGGACTTTTTACATAACAGTAATAGCAGTAAGGAAAAATGTGTGTCACCTTTTTCACTGAAAATTCATATGAATCTTATGATAAGTCTGATACAAGATAGGTATTTATGCTCTTTTCTAAGCAGAAAATGACAAGAATAGTTATTTGTGACAGGAAGTTCTTATTCGTGTTAAGATAATCATAAAAAGCAGCTAAGGAATGATAATCTGAGTTATTCTTAACTCAGACATATTAATGAAAGCCTGTCAAATTGTAATTTCCTGTTCTGTGTCCAAAGCTATTTCCACTACAAAATTCTGTTGAAACGGCTGCATCATTTGGATACTGGGGACTGAGATTTATACCAAGCAACTGTAGTTTTTCTTGCAAGTGTTATCTGCTTTAGCAGTGTGGCAGAGCACAATGCTTTTTCAGTTAGGTGTGCCCTATTATGTTTTCTCTAAATTCTATGGCTATGTAATGGCTAAGTCAACATTGTATGACATCATAATTTTAGCTCTTTTTTTAACTCTATTTTCCAATGTTATGATGAACAGAATTCTGATTTTTATTCTTATCTTAAATGGTATGATTATAGTCATTGTACTCACTGCATCCATGCAATACATGTGAAGAACTCGCCCAAGTCTTGCTGTTTTAGAAATCTGATACTTCTGGCCTGCCAGAAGTTGTATATGTGTTTAAAAAGCTATTTGCAATCTTCTTATACTTTTTCTTGCTTCCCAACTGAAATAATTTCAGTATTTACATTCTCTAGTTGTTGGTAATTCATTATTTCTTAGACTTTGGTTTACAAAATTTTGAAGCCACGCAGTTTCAAATCTGCTGGAATATCCAAAAGAAGTACTGTTCAAAATAATTTTTATTCAAGAACCTGGAAAATATATTGGCACAATAATCTTTTTCTGTCTTCTGTTTTCTTTTTAACTGCCTCTATTTCTCTGTGTGTTGCATGTTTCCTTGTTGTATTTAAATGCTCTTTTTAGATTATTGCTAGAACTGTTAGGATGTAAGGAAATGGAAGGAGCTTTCAGTATACTTCCAGAGAATTAATCATATGAGTAGATTTTTTCACTGTTATAAAGTGCTTGCCCTGCTGAGTATTAATTGTAGTGCTGATTTCAGAGTTTAAGTAGCATATAACTTTAAAGGTCCGAATAAATCTTTCTTTCCTCTTATAATCAAATAAAATCAAATAATCAAGCTTGCAACACTCACAGGAATTTAAGTGATATACACATTTCTCTTGCAAACGGAGGGCAGGGGGAAAAAGTTAGCATGACCGTAGAAATTTGTGTACTGATCTGAAGAAGACATTTTGGGTAGGCTTTTCCTTTTCTGTGTTCTCTAGGATCTTTGTGTGAATGGTTAAAAAGAGCACTATGAAGATATTTAAATTTATGGCTCACTTTCCAGTTAGAAAATCTGGTAACTGAAACAAACAAAAAAAATTCAGAAAACACAAGTGTAGCAGAATACAATTGCTTACCACCAGCTGACTGATGCCCAACCTGTCCCTAATCAGTGATCGGCCTGTCTTGGCCAAGTCTCCCCAGTTTATATACTGAGCATGATGTTCTATGGTATGGAATATTCCTTTGGCTAGTTCAGGTCAGCTGTCCTGGCTGTGATCCCTGCCAGCTTCTTGTGCACCTGGTCACTGTCAGAACATAAGAAACTAAGAAATTCTTGGTTTATATTAAGCACTATGTAGAAACAACTAAAACCATGAGGGTGTTATCAACATTATTCTCAGACTAAGGCCAAAACATGACACTGTACCAGCTACTAGGCAGAAAATTTATTCCATGTGAAACCAGGACAGTATCCACCCCTTATTCCATACCATTTACATCATGATCAGATCCCACACTTTCCAGTATACCATCACCTTTTCTGTCTCTTGACATATGTATATAAATACAGATACCTTTCCCTTAGTCTATGGACCAGTCCTATAAAAGTTCACTGAGTTCATTCAGTCCAGTACTGAGCCCCATCTTATCATAAGTCTTTCAGGGCAGGAGAGATGGTGTGTGGTGTTGAATTGTTGCTTAGTGAAACCAGATCCGATTTCATCACTGCTGTGCTCATCCACTTTCATCAAAGTTCATTCTTCATTAATGTGATGATCAAAAGGTGGTCGGGTTCAGGCCTGCAAGTCTGGAGCAGTGGACATGGGCACCACAAGATGCCCCGTGCAGTAACAGTCATATAGCTGCCATAAAAGTGTTATATAGCAGTCAACAGCATACAGTTTAATTCAGTGGCTATTCTCACCCAAAATCACATCCCCTTGGGGCACATAATAGGCTTCCCCATCCTCCTTCATTACCCACCAAGTGCACCCAGGTCCTTGAGCAAAAGGAGTCCCATCTTGCCACAATGCAGCAGCCAAGGTGGATTTACCTCTGCCTTGCCAGTGTTTTTGCTCCTATTGCTTCAACCACCCCCACAGGGCATTTGCCACCATCCGTGAGTCAGTATAAAATATTGCCCACTTTTCTCATTCAGCAATGTCCAAGGCCAGCTGGATGGCTTTCACCTCTGCAAACTGACTTGATTCACGCTTTCCTTCAGCAGTTTCTGCAGTTTGTCGCATGGGACTCCTTACAGCTGCCTTCCATCTCTGACACTTTCCCACAATATGTCAGGACCCATCAGTAAACAAGGCATATTGTTTCTCAGTTTCTGACAGTTCATTATGTGGTGGGGCCTCTTCAGCACGCATCACCTCCTCTGGTGACATTCTGAAATCCTTGCCTTCTGACCAATCCAAGATCACTTCCAAGAATCCTGGTAAGCTGGGATTTCCTATTCAAGCTCGTTGTGTAATTAGTGCAGCCCACTTACTCCATGTAGCATCGGTTGCATGATATATAGAAGACACCCTGCGTTTGAACATCCAGCCCAGCATGGGCAACTGGGGTGCCAGGAGGAACCATAGAACAGTTAGGGTTGGAAAGTATTTTAAGATCATCTAGTTCCAACAGTGCCAATCACTTCCAAAGCAGCTTGAACCCCTTCATAGGCTGCCAGTATCTCTTTCTCAATTGGAGTATAGCTGGCCTCATATCCTCTGTATCCCCCGACATGAAAAGACAAGGGTGCATTCTGCTAGAGGCTCCAGGTAGGACCATTCTCCCCAGCGATGGTGTAGAGCACATTTTTCACATCTTGCCCAGTCTGGACTGGTCCAAGGCTTACTGCATGAACTCTCTCATTTAATTTTTCAAAGGCTTCTTGTTGCTCAGGGCCCCATTTGAAATAATGAAACAATGAAAAGACACATGATAGAGAGGGCTTACAATCAGACTGTAATTTGGGATGTGCATTCTCCAGAACCCCTAAGCACCTAAGAAAGCTTGTGTTTCTTTCTTATTAGTTGGTCGAGACATTGCTGTTATCTTGTTGATCACATCCATTGGCATCTTGCCATTTTATTCCCCAAAACAGAATCTCCTTTGCAGGTCCCTTGGCTTTACTTTGTTTTATGGCAAAACTGGCTTTCAGTACGATTTGGATTGTTTTCTTCCCGTTCTCAAAACCTTCTGCTGTATTAACCCACACAGTGATGTCATCAATGTATTGCAGGTATCATAGAATACCAGGTTGGGGAGTGTCAACGCGGGAGTCACGGACAACGCAGGGACTATCAATGTGATCAGCAAATGCCAATTTATTACAAAGCTTTAACCCCTTATAAACCATTTCTCACAGGCACTTAGAGTGATTTGGCATATTATGATTGGATACATGTCTTGAAGACCCTTAGCAACTAACACATAATTGGTTAAGCACAGGTGTGAGAACTTGACCTCGAAAGCTTGCCAACAGCCCACAGTTCTCATAACTTAGTGAATTGCAGCTTCTTCTTATCTTGTTTGCTTAAGCTTTCTCGGGCCTCTCACTGCCTTGCTGTATCTTTCAGGATTATTCAGAGTTTATGTACCAATTATCCATTCTCCCGTGAGAACACTGTCTCCACATCTCCCCCTTTTTGTTTTATATATCTTTTGGATGACACTACTTGAGCAGGGGATTTGGGCTAGATCATAACTTCAACATATGCCAACTACAGGCTGTCGGGCCTGTCCCCTTTATCTCCTGCATGGCTCTCTGATAACAGGGAAGGCCATTCCTCACATCAAGGTCTGGCATGGCATGTGTCCGCACCGCTCTGCGCCTGCTGGGTTGCAGCCAGCAGTGGAGCTAAAGGTTCTTCTTGGTGGCAAACACAGAGGCCAACCCAGTCTTGCCCTTGATTGTGGTAGCAGGCATTTGGTCAGCCTCAATCCTTGCACCTTGTTGTCAATGCAGAGTTTCACCTGCTTCATCCAGTAAGAAGTCGTTATTATGGCAAGGCACACACAAATTTATATTAGCAGAGTAACTAGCCAAAGAAATTTCCTACCAGTGGTGTTCTCTCACCCTCTTAATTTGTTCCATTACCTACATTATAACACTACCCTTGTATTAGGATCTTTCTAGCTTTTACCTTAGCATTCTCTAGCACCTACTACAACTTTGCATTTTCAAGCGATAAATCTATACAATACAAGGTGTAGTTTCTTATTAGCAACTGGCTACTAAATACAGGTGGTTTTATACACAAAATCAAAGCCTCTAATAATAGCTACTTTACAAGCACACATATTCAAGCTGTTACTTTTCAGTTGCCCCCAAGTGATGCTTTGCAATCATTTGTTTTTCTCTTCCTCTATCTCATTCTGCTTGGGGTATTCACGTTCAGCTCCTGTAGCTGAGGCATCAGGTTCCTCCATTCGTCTGTCCGGCTCATGGCAAGGCTTGACAAACTTTGCAGGCAGTCGCCATGGACCTGTAGGCAGGAGGACACAAATATACCCCCTCCTCCAGGTTATCAGTTCTCGAGAAGTAGACAGATTAAATGAGGAGTTTGCCGCATCATTGCCTTTTTTTTTTTTCTTCTGCCTTTGACTTACCCTTTAAAAGGGGCATGAAATCAATCATATCATTTGTGATTCCACACAAAGGGCGGATCCATTGGATATCACCCATCAATTTCTGCACGACAGACAAGGTTGTTATCTGTGTGGTAATTTTAACTTTTTGAGGCCTAATTTCAGTTCCGGGAATGATCCACCCCAGATATTTCCAAGGGGTTTCACCCTGTCCGGTGGAATTACCAGTCCTGCTTTCGCTAATTCTGATTGTAGCAGGTAAAGCAGATAGTCCTTGTTTAAATCTTTGCCTGCAATTAGGATATCATCCACATAGTGATATATAACACATTTTTGCAGTTTCTGTCAGATCGGTTGCAATGCCCAGGCAACATACAGTTGACAAATAACATAATTTTTCATACCTTGAGGTAAAACAACCCATTCATATCTCTTAGCAGGCTCTTCTTTGTTAACTGCTGGGACAGAGAAAGCAAATTTTTCACAATCGCTTGGGTATAGAGGTATCCCAATCCTGAGGTATCATTGAAGGGCTAGGCAAGCCAGGTTGCAAAGCAACGACATTCAATTGTCCTGTGTCCGAATTTGTCACATTTAATACATTTATCTGCAAAACAAGTAACACTACCCTGAGGGGGGCGGGTTGCTGAACTAATTTTCTTTACAGTACACTGTTTTGTTT